CCAAAATAAAGTCTACATCGAATTTTAAGTTTTACATTGATTTTAGTACAAATTTGAATACTTAATATGGGCTATTTTGAGACAGATGGAGTGATAATTACATTATTATTATTGTATGCATAAAACGGGTTCACTTCTTGCCGCCCCATTTGAAGTGAAAAAAGCAAAAGCATAACAAACTAAGAACGCAAACTAACATATCCTTAATTAGTTAGGTAGAGATGCCTCAAGAATTAAAGGTATCTTTCTTCTTGCAACAGCATGGGAGCTACATTCATGTCCATGTCGTTTATCTGTGCTCCCGCACCTAATGTGAGGGTGAACCTAAGTACTAGTTTTGCTAGTGCAACCTCAGCTGTTGACAAAGCCAATACAGAACCAAGGCAACTTCTCCTTCCATATCCAAACAGAATCAACTCGAAATGTTGCCCTTTCACGTTATTGGAACCAGCCGCAAAACCCCCCTCCTTCCAACACCTCTTCTCTGCTGTCTCATCCGGCCATTGGCCTCTCCAACATAAAAAATTATGTTACTCTTGTCCTAGATTTCACCAACTATATGCTCTGGAAAGAACTCTTTCTTCCGATTTTTCACGGCCATGGTATCATGGATCACATTGATGGTACCTCTCTCTGTCCGCCCTTGACTCTTCCCGCTGTGGATGGTTCTTCCGTTTCTGTCCCAAATCCTGCCTTTCAAACATTGACTCAAATTGATTCCATTGTTCTCTCCTGGATTCAAGCCACAGTCTCAACCGAAATCTTGCAAGCTATAGTTAAACCAAATTCTAATCTCACTGCTCGAGAAGCATGGTTAACTATTCAACAGCTTTTTCATGATCAACTTGGCTCTCGTCTTCTTCAATTGAAACTCCAATTCCACAGTTTCAAGAAGGGTGACTTATCCATTAATGATTATGTCACTAAACTTAAATCTTTTGCCAGATTCTTTAACGGCGGTTGGTTCTCCAGTCTCCTAACCCGACTTGGTCCTTCAAATTCTTGCTGGCCTTCCTTCTGAATATCAATCTGTCTCGACCACGATTAGTCACAAAGTCCTGTTGCCTAATTTTGTTGAAGCTCGCTCCATGCCTTTCTTGCACGAAGTGCAACTACAGAATACAATTCCTGCTACTCCTCCCGCGGCAACTCCGGCGTTAGTTGCGGCTTCTTCAACTGAATCCCTTCCTACTTCAGCCACCTCTCAACCTTTCACCAACAATCGTGGTTGTGGTCGAGGCAGGTTCCAGAATTTTCGGGGGTGTGGCGGTCGCGGACGTGGCCGAAATCAATCTGGTCAGTATAATTCTTTTTATCCTGCCTACTCTAATTTTCAGCCTCCTATGTTTTCTCCTAGAAACCGTGCTCCTTCACTTCTTGGTCCAGCTCCCTCTTTTCAGCCAGGACAACTTGCTATTCGCTGTCAAGTATGCAATCAAGTGAATCACTCTAACAGAGAATGCTTCCAATTTCGGCAACCCGCTTACTTTGTCGATCAATATCCTCGACCTCCTGCTCCTCCATCTGTGGATTCATCCTGGTATATGGATACCACTTGTGGTTACACTGTGACTCCCACTCAAGGTATTCTCTACAATTCAAAGCCTTATAATGGATGTACTAGGGTTGTGATTGGTAATGGTAATATGTTGCCCATTAAATCTGTTGGTTTCTTGTTCTTTATTTAAATTTCCTCGCGTTTATTGTGTTTCTTCTATTACTAAAAATCTTATCTCTGTTCGTCAATTTGCTACTGAAAATCAATGTTCCGTTGAATTTGATCCTTTTGGTTTTTCTGTGAAGGATCTCTGGACAAGGATCCCTCGTCTACGTTGCAATAGCACTGGGTCTCTTTTATACCTTTCCTTCTACCTTGCTACATCAGTCTCTTGCACCATCTTCCTTGTCATGTCCGGCATTTGCTTCTCCAGTGTCTTCCCAAGTGTGGCATCAACGTCTTGGTCACCCGCACTCTTCTGTCTTGTCTAGTTTAGTTTCCCGTCAGAGTCTTCTTGGTTCGGGGGTTTCATCCAATAAGCTTTACCTGTGTCAAGCATGTCAAATTGGAAAGCATCATAAGCTTCCTTTTTAGTCTTCGTCGTCTGTCACTTACAGTCCTTTTGATATTATTCATACTGATGTCTGGACTTTTTCTTGTCTTTCTTTTAGGGATTTTAATATTTTGTTCTATTTCTAGATGATTTCACTCATTACCTATGGGTGTATCCTCTCAAAAATAAATCTGAAGTTCCTCAAAAGTTTGTTGAATTTTATAATCTTGTTCAAACTCAATTCCATTCTTCTATTAAAATACTTCAATCCGATGGTGCTGCTGAATATGTTCGTTCTCAATCTCTGCAAACCTTTCTTAAATCAAAGGGGGTCATAATGCGAGTCTCTTGTCCATACACTCCCCAACAAAATGGGAAGGCTGAACGAATGAATAAAACCATTCTTAACATGGTCCGTACTCTTCTTCATCAAGCCCAATTACCAAATGAATTCTGGGTCGAAGCATTAATCACTTGTGTTTATCTCTTAAACCGGCTGCCTACTACATCTAAATTCGGAGCTGTCCCTTTCTCACTTCTCTTTGGCCATCCACCTAATTATGGGGTACTTAGGGTTTTTGGTTGCTCTTGTTTTTCAAATCTCTCACATTTAGCATCTCATAAACTTAGTCCTTGTTTAGTTCCTTGTGTGTTTATTGGTTATCCAGAATCATATAAGGGTTATTCTTGTTTTGATCCAGTCTCTCGAAAAGTATACATTTCGCGACATGTCATTTTTGATGAAATTTTCCTTTCCTTTTCCTACACTATCCTCTTCGATTCAGCCCCTTCCTACCTCGGCCCCCTCATTTAAACATCCTTCCTTTCTCATTCCCAAATACCTTCCATCACCGATTATCTCCTCTCCCAGCAAAACTCCTGTTTCAAATTCTATCTCTGCCACCCAAATTTTCGTTCCTACTCAACCTTTAGATCCTATATCCTCCATTGCTCCCTCACATCCTATGGTTACCCGCACTCGGGATGGCACACGAAAATCCAAATAGATTTTCTCCCTCACTGCCACTACCAATTCTCCTTCTCTTCCCATAGAACCAAAATCTTTCACTGAAGCAAATAAACACCCTGAATGGCGTGCCACTATGAGTGATGAATACAACGCCCTTCTGTCTAATCATACATGGGATTTAGTCCCACTACCTGTGTCTGCGAATGTCATTGGTTCTAAATGGATCTTTCGTGTAAAACTCAAATCCGATGGATCCCTTGATCGTTGTAAAGCACGTTTGGTTGCTCAAGGTTTTACTCAAAAACCTGGGCTTGATTATGATCAAACGTTCAGTCCTGTGGTTTCCAGTGACAATTCAGACTGTCTTAAGTATTGCTGCATCTCATAAGTGGCCCGACCATCAGTTGGATGTTAAAAATGCATTTTTGATTGGCCATTTAAATGAAGTTGTCTATATGAAACAGCCTACTCGCTTTGTTCATCTAGACCATCCTCACTATGTCGGTCGCCTGAACAAATCTCTTTATGGCATAAAGCAGGCCCCCCGAGCTTGGTTTCACCGCTTTACTACTTTCCGGGTTACACAGGGTTTTAAAGGCAGTCGCTCGGATTCTTCTATATTTGTTTACACTGCTGGTACTGACATGGCTGTTCTCCTCCTCTATGTTGATGATATTCTCTTAACAGCCTCTAGTGATCGTCTTCTTACCAGACTTATTCAGTCTCTGAAGGGTGCTTTTGCCATGACTGATCTTGGTCCTATTAGTTACTTCTTGGGTGTCTCGGTTTCTCCCCAGTCAAATGGTTGGTTTTTGCATCAACGCAAGTGGCTGAGGAATTACTTTCTCGCAGTCATCTCACTGAAGCTATCCTGTTGCCACTCCACTTGCTCTGGCTTTTTAGTCCTTTGTTGATGAGTCACCACCATTTCATAATCCGACTCTCTACAGAAGTTTGGTGGGTGCCCTCCAATACCTTGCTTTCACTAGACCGGACATTCAGTATGCTGTCAATCTTGTCTATCAGCATATGCATGATCCTCAGGAGCAAAATTATCAGGCTGTTAAGCGCATTCTACGGTATATTAAGGGTACCCTTCACTATGGTATTCATATCTGTGCTGGTTCTCTTGATCGTCTTGTGGCTTATTCGAATGCTGATTGGGCTGGATGTCCGACAACTAGACGTTCTACCACTAGGTTCTGTGTCTTTTTAGGTTCATCATTGGTCTCGTGGTCTTCCAAAAAGCAATCTACTGTTTCACGATCTTCTGTTGAATCTGAGTATCGCGCCATCGCTACTACCTTATCTGAAGTTGTTTGGTTAGAAAATCTTTTTTCTGAGCTTCACTTCAAGCTTCCCAGATCTTCAGTTATTCTGTGTGATAATATTTTTGTTACCTACCTTGCCGCCAATCCTATTAATCATGTCAGAACAAAGCACATTGAGCTGGATATCCATTTTGTTCGTGAATGAGTTGCTGCTGGTCTTCTTGTTGTTCGTCATATCCCCACACAATCTCAACTTGCAAATGTCTTCACCAAGTCATTAGCTAAAGATAAATTCTTTTTGTTTAGAACCAATCTAGGCATGATTTCTCATCCTACTATGATTGCGGGGGAGGGGATGATAGAGTATGTAATTAAGGAAACTAAATTAGGGTTTTATATATCCTTGTATATATATATTTCTTAATGTACAACCGGTAATACACATAGAAATATAATTCTTTCACTATTCAAGAATCTCTCCGGCCAAAATCGAAGAGTCCCTACCAATCGCAAAAGCATTGATGAACACCTGAGTTCCGGATGGAATATGTTATCCCATGATCTTAACTGAATTTCTTGATTCTCGAGCAAGTAACAATGGAGCTGGAGGATGCATACGAAAAGTCTCTTGAATAACCGCTTTCAAATAAGGGAGTTTTTCTAATTCTTATTCCGTTATGCAATGCAATTTGCCATCTGAGTGTCTCCTCACTTCGTTGTTAGCTTTGCCATAGCAATTTTGTTTTTCACTAACTCAGTAATGGTCCACTCTAGTAATGTGGATGTAGTATCAGTTCCAGCAGTAAACATGTCCTACAAAATAAATAGAATTCGAAACTTATGCTAACCAATAGTTTAGCTTTAAGATATAAGACAAATAGAGCTGTACATTGATGTGAAAATCGTTAAAGCCGAAATTACTAAAAATGTAGTAATTAATATATTACCAGGATCAATGCTTTGACTGAATCACGTTGAAGAGTGAATCCATTGATATTTTCCATTTGAAGTTCAAGCAAGATATCCAGGAAATACTTTTGAGCTTTGACTTCTTTTTCACTTTCACTAGTTCTACTTCTCAATATTTTCTCATGCCTCTTCATTCCTTCTTCGACAATATTTTCAAAATATTCATCTAGCTCTTTGGCAACCCGGTTCACTTTCGCCTCCAAACCATTGATGTGATTAATCCATTCAAGCCAGGGAATGTAGTCACCAACATTAAACGATCGAAACAACTCTAAGAACTCCTCAAAAATTTTCTTGAAATTGCTCCCACTTTTTTCTTCCGAGTACCTCCTCCCTATTACTACCCTAGAAATTATGTTGTTTGTGAGGGTAGCAGACATCTCAGTTATATTGAAGGGGGAGTGTGACATGCACGATTCTGCTATTTTTTCCACCATCAATGCGACCTCTTCTTCGCGCACGCTTCTGAATGATTGAACCCTCTTGTTACTTAGAAGTTGGATAACACAAATGCTTCTTAAGTTTCTCCAATATTCACCATAGGGCGAGAAACCCATATCCGTAAAATTGTATATAAGTCTTCCAACAAACTTCGCCTGAGGCCTACTAGCAAAATCAAGATCATGTCTTTTCAGAACTATTTCAGCTGCATCTGGAGAAGAGACGATGAGCGTCGGTTTGCTTCCTAGATATAGCATCATTAGTGAACCATATTTTCCTGCTAACTCTTTGAGGGATCGATGTGGGAGAGAACCAAGTTGATGAAGGTTCCAAATGACTGGAAGTCTTTGTGGTGAAGGTGGGCAGTTTTTGGGCGAGATTGAAAAGTGATTTTTAAGCCATTTAAAGAGGAAGTATGTGAGAATGATTAATGGAAGAAGCAAAGAGTGGCAAAATTTTGACAACAATGAAATCGTTTCTTCTATAATTAAGAAAATGTACTCTGACCGAGTAGTGGTTGGTATCAGCCTTTCATTAGTATCTTTCCCTTCGAGAACAAAGTTTTAGGACTCCATTAGGGTGGTTTTCGTGGTTGGTTACACTTTTATCTGTCAATAATTAGTACAGTTTATAAAATACAATAGTTATTACGTAACATGACAAATAATCCATTTTCCCTCAACTTTCCCATCCACTAGCTTCAGGAGGTTGCATTAGTGTCCAACTTTATATAAAAGTGACGAGGAGACAATTTTTTTCTCTGAATCTTAAAATAACAGATCTTGGAAGAATTTTTTCTTTTTGATAAAAACCTATCATGAACCTATCTGACTCGATTTAGAATCATTAGGATAGTGGTGCCGACTGGCAAATTCCTAGTGCGAAATATATCGAAAAAATGGATACCAAAAGATGCAATTACTGCAGAAAATATTTTATTGATTTAATCAAATCAAAAGTGCCTGACTTTATCAATTACTGTAGTTTTCGATCATGCCCGTGAATAATATGGTGAATGAATCGATTCCCACTAGATATGCATTAATGTAGGATGAGACAGCCGTTTGAGAAAATTGTTTAATTTCGAGAAAATTTTAGGGTTTCGTTGCCTATTTTGAAGGTGTGACCTTGTTATATTGAACCAATAATAATGTGACACAATAGGTAAACTTACCATAACTTTAAAAAATGAATAACTTAGGAAAGTTTTAACATTTAAAATAACAAAATCACTATCAATTAATAATTAAGTTTTCTTATTTTATTTTTTATATTGCACAAATTATTAAATATGATTGTACATTTGCTTATGTAACATTGCACCTATATTTATAGGCCATAATTGCATCATTATTTGTATATGCATTTATGTTTCTTTAAAATAAGAATAAATCTACAAGCATTGCACATTTGAAAATGATATTTCACATTCAACAAATACATATTGCACATTTACTTACAAAAAAATTGTAACATACCAAACTTAACATAATTATTAATTAATTTTCTTTCTTTTATCTTTATCTTGCACAAAAGTCATGTGTAATTGTTCAGGTACTTACATTTCACATTAATTTATAAAACATTGCACATTAATACATAATTGTATCGTCTCTTATAGAGATATATATATATATATATATATAATAACTATACAAGCACTACAACTTTGAAGATTCATTGCATATTCAAAAAATATCTATTGCATGTTCACTTGCAACAATTATACTATATAGAAATTTACCATAACACCTAATTATCTTATTTTTTTCATTGCACTTACATTGTTACACATTATCTTCTGTTTGATCAATTCTAACTCTCGTTTTTGCCACAAAAAGAGGGGGAAAAAACAAAAATAAAAAGAAACAGCCAGCCTAGCTAGCGAGAGAGGCGAAGAAAGTGAAAAAAACAACACATAATTTACAAGTTGTCAATTAAAAAAAAAATTAAGGGACAAAAAAATTCCAATTAAATTCTATAGCATAAATAGTTTTTGAGTTTTATAAGTTCCCAATCAATTTTTCTGTTATTAATTAATTCATTTAATGCAAATCCTATTATTTTGATTAATTTAGACTAATCTAATGACTATTAATTAAGTAACGGAGCCATACCCTCAAAATTATTAGCTGGACCGTATTCACTCATTTTCATCCTCGTTATACAGTATTCTAATCAAACAAATGAACCTCTCATCACCCATATGTTATGCATGTAAGGTTAACATTTTTTTTCGAAAGGTGCATCGAACAATAATGGTGTGTGTTGAAAACATGTTTATTCAGCTCTTTGAGGAAAAATATATATGTACACTCGAGTTTTCCAATATGTAATAAAAATAATACAAATCTCAAAATCAATATATACTTATTTTTCGGCGAAGGGAGTATATTCTAAGAGCTTGCAGGATTCTTTAAATATATTGGAACATAGAGCTTCTGTCAAACATAAATGCTTCATGCAAATACCTTACAAACTATTAGAAAGAAATCATCGCAATATGACACTTTATGCAAAAGTGTCGTGCAATTATTTAAGTGAATTTCCCACGAGAACAAAATGGAGTTCAACTTAAAATGAAGCGCAAAACACCATGAAATTTATGATTTGGTTACCAAACCAAAAATAAGAATGGTTGTTAGGACAGCTCTAAAAATTTGGTAATTTTTTCTGTAGCAAAAAACTTACTAATAATCTGCGTTTATAAAGTTTAAGTGGCTAGACACGAACTTTTAGATGTGTCTTTTGATTTAGAGCTAGTATGCGATCCGTGTGTTGCACGGAGGGTATTAAGATATTATTATATGAAATATTAAAAAATAAAATTTATCTTATACATAGCATTTCAATATAAAAAAAATAGAATCACACTTTTATTGTAAATTTATATTTAAACGAAAATTATTTGAAGCACAATTAAATGGAACATTAAAGCTTCATGAGAAATATTTAGCTTGTAAAAAGTTATCACAAGTAACCATATTATTAAAAAAAGAAAAGAAAAAAAACACAGATTATAGTAAGATCATATATTCTGTAGAGGTTCTTTATACACCACATTCATTGTGCAATTGCTGTATTGTTCATCCTTGTTGCATATTAGAACTTTAAAACCTTTTCTAGATTTCACCCGAGAGAACGCAGCATATAGCTGGCCATGTGTAAAGAGTAGACGACGCAAAAACAAACCAATCTCTGACAGTGATTGTCCTTGACTCTTATTAATTGTCATCGCAAAATATGCTACTACCAGAAATTGTCTATGCTTGAATTTAACTGGCATTCTCGGGTCCGAAGGACTAATATCCATGCGAGAAATGAAACATTTTCGAACAATATTTGCCCCAGATATAATGATCGCGCGGACCACATGTTCTCCCAGCTCATTAATTGTGTATCATTACACAGACCCCCCTGGCTGATCAAAGATTCGAAGAAGCATGATCGGCACCCCAACTTTAAGTATCACCTTGTGGTTCGACATTCCTGAACATTTTATTGAATTGAGAAATTCAATAGTATAGACGGTATCATCCTCGGGATAAATGGACCTTGCAGTCTCTTCTAAGGAATCAGAGCTATAATATACATTTGCTTCTCCTGCAAGCAAAGAAAACATATCCTGACTTATAGTATCAACATCATCATTGGTGGGAGCCAAAATTGCTCTTTCATAAAAGAAATTAGGCAATTTCAGATTGGAAACAATATTAGGATAAATGGCATTGTAAACAGAAGCGATAAGACTACCAGTCGGCTCAATGAGAAGATCTTTAGGAATTTCGATATCAAGTTCACCATTATTTTGGCCACCAGCAATTCCTTCACCGATATTGAGTAACCATTCAGAAAATTTCTTTATTTCATCTAATTGTTCCGTATCAGATCCTTGTGTAAGTCTCATGATCTTTGTTAACTTCAAGACATCACATTTTTTTCCACAGAATCGATACATTTCTGGCAGCATCCACAATTTCATGTCTGGAAGCCCTAGGAATAACTGTCAAAATCTGACTGAGATCTCCACCTAACACTGTAACAATTCCCTCGAAAGGTTGAGTACACGTCCGCGGGTTTCTTTGACGCATTATATCCTTCAAACTCCTATCAAACGCCTCGAAACAATATCTGTGAGTCGTGGGAGCTTCATCCCATATTATTAAACTCGTACGATGGAACAGAGTAGCCAATTCATCATCAGGTGAGTCATTGCAAACAGATGTTTAAGTCACTCGAAGTGGGATGCCAAACCTTGAATGTGCCGTTCTACCGGCAGATAGGAGTAAAGATGCAATTCCACTGGAAGCAACATTAAGGACAATTTCTCCTTTACTACCTAGGGCTGCAGACAAAGTTTTCCATATGAATGTTTTTCCAGTACCTCCATAACCGTAAAGAAAGAAAAAACCACCCTTTCCGCTGGAACTGAACCAATGATCTTGTCGTAAACATTTTTCTGTTTATCGGTTAACGCAGAAACCAATGATTCATGCTCAACGCGTAACGCCTTTGACATCATAATTTTTTTTTCAGAACTGGTGAATTGGTTATAACAACTATTTCGATGTACTCATTTGGGTATGGCATTGTCTTAAAACTCTTCAAACTACTGCCTAGCTTTTTTAATAATTTATCCAACTCAGCTAAAGTGTAATTGTAAAGATCTTCATCAGGTGCTTCGGCCAAAAAAATTTAAAAGAATTAATGTGGATAAAAAAAAATTTTACTTTTTTTTTGTGGACATAAATAGTTGTCCCGGATTTGGCAAATCAAAGAGCTTAATTAAAAGGACTCTCGGATTTGCCAAATCTGAAACAATTAAATATAATAAAAAATTATAGATTTTCTTTATTTCAGAAAATACAGGAAATGGGGTCAAAAGGTAAACAGTGAATTCGGATTTGTGAAATCCGAAAGCCTTTAAATTTAATATTCAAAAATATACAACAAAAATGGCGGGTAGATTCAAAAATTGGAACAGTGAACTCGGATTTGCCAAATCTGTGTTCTACGGTTTAGGGTTTAGGGTTTAGGGTTACCTCTCGGATTTGCCAAATCCGAGGGCATCCTTTCAGTTTAGGAGTAATCCCTCATTGTGGATAAGGTTTTTGGATGTATTAAATCAGATCGGATAAGGTGACGGACATTCGGATTTACCAAATCCGGGAGCCCCACATAAATAATGACTCTCAGATTTGCCAAATCTGAAACATACATGATATAAAAAGAAAAAAATTGCAACTTCCCGTCATATCGGGTTTTTCAACTTGTGAGGGTTAGTGAAGGTTGTGGCCGGAATTCTTCAGGCTTTTGGACGCACATTACCACTAAATGAAAAAAAAATCGTCATTTTAACGAGGTTAGTCATTAAATCAATGTTTTTTAGTTGTTTTGTTGTGTATTTATATTGTTTGAAGATGGAAGATTGTTAGGACTTAGGTTTGATGATTATGAATGTAATATGGTAATGTTGATGTTGTTGTTGAGTTTGTAGGTTAGAATTGTTACTGTTTTAAGAATTGATAGAGGTTAATCTAATGAATTTAGATGGATTTTGTTTGTATTAATAATTGATAGGGTTTAGGGGTAATTTGTTTG